CTTTCTTCATGTCGAAGGGACGAGTCTGGGCCTCTAGACGCTCCCTATCTGACTTCCTTAGGTAAGAAGCTGCTGCCCCAAACTCTTTCATGGCAGCGTCCCCCATTTTTCACTTTGTCTGCAAGAAAATAATGACAATTGCAGCTTTAGCATAAAAGGAATTATTTGTATGATTTATATACCACTATAGAGCTTTTTATCCCTTCATTTATTGTATAACTTTGTTGTGTTTTATATATTTCTCTCCTTAATACAATTAACTGTATTTAAATCAAACACATTTTCATTTTTCAGATTCTCTTACCTTACAAATCCTGACTTAGAGGACTGATGTGTAATGGTCCTGAGGGAAAAAAAGGAAACCAATGAGACCAAAGGTTTAGCATTAGAGTATGATGGTTGATCGTGAGCCATTGTTCTCGCATCTTACCTTTAGATAGAATGGTGACCTATGGGGGTTTCACCAGGAGTTGTCTTTATAGACAAAGCCCCACTGCCAAATATGGAGGGGCGTTTCACGGCCCAGGAATGTTATTGTGTCTGAGTTTGGTTAGGGGTACAAGAAGGGAGGGGGTTAATGAGTGGCGGAGAGTAATATAGAAATCAGCGGGTTAATGTCTTATCAGTATCAGGGCTGGTCTCCTGGCGAGGCCATATTAGGAGTTCCATGCAGTGCTGTGATTAATCATAGGTATCCTTAAGCAGACAGAGGACCACAATGAAATCTTTAAATAGACCAAAGGAGGAACTCCTTTCTCTACATCCCTCAAGTGAACTCCTGATACCACATGTTGTTCAACAAAAGCAAGAGAAGCATCCTAACTTAAAGGACAGGCCACACTGATACTGACCAAAAAATGTTAATGATGGTGATGGTATGACTTAAATAGATGTTGTAAATATGATGCTCAGCATATAAATACCATTACTTTTACTTTACATTAAGCTCTTACTTTTCACTTCAAGGGTTTTTGTGTAATCATTATTTTATTCTTGTCCAGCAGGTCAGTCCAACGTGATTTACAATTGCTGATAATTGTAATAACCAATCTAAATGTGGAAAAAACTGCAACAAACTCATAGTTATAATAAACAGATATGGCTAAGAGCCAAAGATATGGCTATTAAAGCCATAGAGAAAATCTCTTAACTTGGATTTTGTAAATCAGATTTGTTTTACATAATTGCTAAAATAATCTAAATCACCACAGTACATTATCATACAATATATTAATGTGCTTACAAAAGGGGATATGTTAAATTATGATGAGTTGTCAAAAAAATCAGAAGACATCAATGCATCCTTGAGCAGTATTGAAAATCAAAATGATAATTTAACATTTTCTTACCTAGCATCACATAAATGTAAACTGCTTGTATTGTTATCTAAACACAAATGAAGGCAAGAAATGTCTGGGGAGATATTTTAGAGAGGCATGTGATTCATGTTTAGGTCAGAGGGCTCAGACACAGTGAGGTCTAGCAACATACTGCTTTTGGTTATCATAGGGTGGACTTTGCAGTAACATAAACAGCCATCAGATACCAAGAGGGGTGGTCTAAATAAAGAACATTAGTCTGTGAGATTAACCAGGCGACAAGTGCGAGGCAACACAGACCGAGGTCTGCCACAGGTGACATGCTTGAGATTTACTGAAAGGGAGTAATGATGACACACAATAGGCTGTACCACCATGATATAATCCAATGCGATGCCAAGGTCACTGTGGAAGCCTTCTCCCATTATCAGGCAGCGACTAGCAAAAGCTGGCCCCTCAGTTACAATGCTGTTGACATGGCATTGTGTCTTTGAGGACAAAGATAACTGTGTGAAATTCCTGCTGAGAAGCCTGCACTGATTGAGGAGAACAGCCACAAGTGCCATTTTTTTCTGCATCAGGGTCAGCTGTTGCAGATGATTGCCGGCCTCACACTGCATTCTGTCTCATATAAAGTTACTCATAAGGATGGGTCTATTCCACTGTTCATCATAAATGTTCCATGATGAAAGTCCATAGTTATGTGATGTTTGTGGCTGCTCCGTCAACGGATGATGTCACATAACATTTAATAATCTATAATGTATTAAACTTAAACAACATGCTTTGTAATAGTATAGCAACTACAATACAACAGTGAGCATAGTTTCTTCAAAGGTTAAGAGATAGAAGGAGGGTCAACAGCTGCTGACAAGTGCTGAGATTATTTCCACTCTGATAACAGTTACTGACAGCCAGTGTCAAGGCACCAAAAGGAAGTGAGAGATTCCATGCACCCCTTAAAGAGTGAAGATAACACTGACCTTATAGGTCAAATGCCTTCTCAATAAAGGAAACATAAGTTAAATGCTTTGTTTATGTCGCAACAAACACTCACTGTTACCACATACTGTATATTTGATTTAAAGGTCCAGTGTGTATGTTTTTGGTGAAAGGGAGTTAGTGGCAGAAATATAATATAAAATAATGATGTTTTCACTAGTTCATTTCATCTGAATTGTATGAATTGTAGTTTTCTTTACCCCAGAAAAGGCCCTTTATATTTAAATACTTTATATTTACATCGAGGGGACCCTCTCTACGGAGGCTGCCATGTTTTTTACATTAGTCCAGACTGGACAAACTAAACACCTTTTGAATTTTAATGACAATTAAAGGCTACCACAGCTTATTTTTCATGTTTGGAAGGAGAGGGTGAGGTGAGGGGTGTTCAGCTGCAACATGCAACTTCAACACTAGATATCACAAAATTCTACACACTGTACCTTTAATACATAGACAACTACTGTATATTGGATTCTTAGAGACTAGTACGTATGGTAACTTAAAAAGGTTTGACCTGTTTGTGTTAAGGTCATTGTTACTGTTATAGTCACTAACTTGTTGCTGACACAGTATATGCAGTTATGTTCTGTACATCATCACAGTGCAGCAGTACAAGGCTTAAAATAACTGCTAATGTAATCATCATTTCCAAGTGAGAGGGTCAAGGGGTTGGTTCAAATATGTTGTCAGCACTGGATAAGGATCCTCATAATGTCCCACACCTGCATACAGGAAGATCTTAACAAATTCCCATTTTGCAAGTTAAATTTGTAAACTGTACAAATATCTTTTTTAGCATTCAATGAAAAGTGGCCATTGCTGTGGTGCGTATGCATCAAATATGAGTTTGCATCATCTTCCCTGAATTTCAATTTTTACCTCCACCAAGTGGGTTATGTTTTCACTTCTGTCTACTTATTTTCTGGTTGGTTGGTTTATAAGCAAGATTACAAAAAAACTACTGGAAGGATTCACACTTAGACTTTAATGTCCTCTGGGGGAATTTAGTTTTCACTGTGCAATCAACACAAAAGGATACATTTCAGCTAAGGCAACCGGCCAACATCACATGCAACATAACTTTTTTACAAACAAGTTCCATTCACCGTGGCGGTTTATTTAGTCCTGCAATGGAAGAGGTTACAAAGCTTCTACTAAATCTGTCCCTTCTCCATTTAAGTGTGTTGTACCTCCATCAGGATGGCAGTAATGTGAAATTTCCACAAAAACTTGGATGCGGAAGGATGCAGTATGTGTCAGGGAGGAACCTGTTCCTTGATTAATTTTTTTAACATTGCACAGGAGGTTCTCCTGAGAATAATGAGAATAATAATGGATTGACAGATTGTGTGTGCTATTTGGTGCAGCTTGATTAAATTTAAGGCCCTTAGTGTCAACTATTTAGATAAAAAGTTGATACTATTATCAGTGGTGACCAACTAGCTATTAACTAAATCTCTACAAGTCTACAAGTTAACTCCTGAAATAAGACTATAAGCATCATACACCATGTGATCTAATTATAAAGATAGTGAGGTGCTCCATCTCTGGTCAGTCATTTTATTAATTCAAGCCTGAGCTCAGATGTCCTGTTAATCCTTCTGATAATCCTCAACACATTCTGTGCTCTACATGCTGCACCTCTTTATGGGCAGGTGTGAATGTATTTTCATTAGCTCACAGATACCTGCTTGTCTGCTCAGGGAGTTAAAGACATACCATGTAATAAGAGGAGATAATGATTTAAAGCCTTAAATCATTATCTTATAGTCTTCAGCAGCAGCAGCAATGACTGAAGCCTTACTATTCCT